CCGCCCCCTCCCCCTGCCGTGTGCCGCGGGCGTGGCTGCCGGCCCGTGTGACCGCGCTAGGCCCACCAGGAGGCTGCGCCGCCCCCACTTACCCCACTTGGTGAGGAAATGGGCCAGCGCGATGTAGATCTTGGAGAGGATGAGGATGAAGATGAGGTTGACCCTCCCTCCCACACCGGCTCCCACCCTGCCTCCCACACCGACTCCCTCCCTCCCACACCGGCTCCCACCCTGCCTCCCACACCGACTCCCTCCCTCCCACACCGGCTCCCACCCTGCCTCCCACACCGACTCCCTCCCTCCCACACCGGCTCCCACCCTGCCTCCCACACCGACTCCCTCCCTCCCACACCGGCTCCCACCCTGCCTCCCACACCGACTCCCTCCCTCCCACACCGGCTCCCACCCTGCCTCCCACACCGACTCCCTCCCTCCCACACCGGCTCCCACCCTGCCTCCCACACCGACTCCCTCCCTCCCACACCGGCTCCCACCCTGCCTCCCACACCGACTCCCTCCCTCCCACACCGGCTCCCACCCTGCCTCCCACACCGACTCCCTCCCTCCCACACCGGCTCCCACCCTGCCTCCCACACCGACTCCCTCCCTCCCACACCGGCTCCCACCCTGCCTCCCACACCGACTCCCTCCCTCCCACACCGGCTCCCACCCTGCCTCCCACACCGACTCCCTCCCTCCCACACCGGCTCCCACCCTGCCTCCCACACCGACTCCCTCCCTCCCACACCGGCTCCCACCCTGCCTCCCACACCGACTCCCTCCCTCCCACACCGGCTCCCACCCTGCCTCCCACACCGACTCCCTCCCTCCCACACCGGCTCCCACCCTGCCTCCCACACCGACTCCCTCCCTCCCACACCGGCTCCCACCCTGCCTCCCACACCGACTCCCTCCCTCCCACACCGGCTCCCACCCTGCCTCCCACACCGACTCCCTCCCTCCCACACCGGCTCCCACCCTGCCTCCCACACCGACTCCCTCCCTCCCACACCGGCTCCCACCCTGCCTCCCACACCGACTCCCTCCCTCCCACACCGGCTCCCACCCTGCCTCCCACACCGACTCCCTCCCTCCCACACCGGCTCCCACCCTGCCTCCCACACCGACTCCCTCCCTCCCACACCGGCTCCCACCCTGCCTCCCACACCGACTCCCTCCCTCCCACACCGGCTCCCACCCTGCCTCCCACACCGACTCCCTCCCTCCCACACCGGCTCCCACCCTGCCTCCCACACCGACTCCCTCCCTCCCACACCGGCTCCCACCCTGCCTCCCACACCGACTCCCTCCCTCCCACACCGGCTCCCACCCTGCCTCCCACACCGACTCCCTCCCTCCCACACCGGCTCCCACCCTGCCTCCCACACCGACTCCCTCCCTCCCACACCGGCTCCCACCCTGCCTCCCACACCGACTCCCTCCCTCCCACACCGGCTCCCACCCTGCCTCCCACACCGACTCCCTCCCTCCCACACCGGCTCCCACCCTGCCTCCCACACCGACTCCCTCCCTCCCACACCGGCTCCCACCCTGCCTCCCACACCGACTCCCTCCCTCCCACACCGGCTCCCACCCTGCCTCCCACACCGACTCCCTCCCTCCCACACCGGCTCCCACCCTGCCTCCCACACCGACTCCCTCCCTCCCACACCGGCTCCCACCCTGCCTCCCACACCGACTCCCTCCCTCCCACACCGGCTCCCACCCTGCCTCCCACACCGACTCCCTCCCTCCCACACCGGCTCCCACCCTGCCTCCCACACCGACTCCCTCCCTCCCACACCGGCTCCCACCCTGCCTCCCACACCGACTCCCTCCCTCCCACACCGGCTCCCACCCTGCCTCCCACACCGACTCCCTCCCTCCCACACCGGCTCCCACCCTGCCTCCCACACCGACTCCCTCCCTCCCACACCGGCTCCCACCCTGCCTCCCACACCGACTCCCTCCCTCCCACACCGGCTCCCACCCTGCCTCCCACACCGACTCCCTCCCTCCCACACCGGCTCCCACCCTGCCTCCCACACCGACTCCCTCCCTCCCACACCGGCTCCCACCCTGCCTCCCACACCGACTCCCTCCCTCCCACACCGGCTCCCACCCTGCCTCCCACACCGACTCCCTCCCTCCCACACCGGCTCCCACCCTGCCTCCCACACCGACTCCCTCCCTCCCACACCGGCTCCCACCCTGCCTCCCACACCGACTCCCTCCCTCCCACACCGGCTCCCACCCTGCCTCCCACACCGACTCCCTCCCTCCCACACCGGCTCCCACCCTGCCTCCCACACCGACTCCCTCCCTCCCACACCGGCTCCCACCCTGCCTCCCACACCGACTCCCTCCCTCCCACACCGGCTCCCACCCTGCCTCCCACACCGACTCCCTCCCTCCCACACCGGCTCCCACCCTGCCTCCCACACCGACTCCCTCCCTCCCACACCGGCTCCCACCCTGCCTCCCACACCGACTCCCTCCCTCCCACACCGGCTCCCACCCTGCCTCCCACACCGACTCCCTCCCTCCCACACCGGCTCCCACCCTGCCTCCCACACCGACTCCCTCCCTCCCACACCGGCTCCCACCCTGCCTCCCACACCGACTCCCTCCCTCCCACACCGGCTCCCACCCTGCCTCCCACACCGACTCCCTCCCTCCCACACCGGCTCCCACCCTGCCTCCCACACCGACTCCCTCCCTCCCACACCGGCTCCCACCCTGCCTCCCACACCGACTCCCTCCCTCCCACACCGGCTCCCACCCTGCCTCCCACACCGACTCCCTCCCTCCCACACCGGCTCCCACCCTGCCTCCCACACCGACTCCCTCCCTCCCACACCGGCTCCCACCCTGCCTCCCACACCGACTCCCTCCCTCCCACACCGGCTCCCACCCTGCCTCCCACACCGACTCCCTCCCTCCCACACCGGCTCCCACCCTGCCTCCCACACCGACTCCCTCCCTCCCACACCGGCTCCCACCCTGCCTCCCACACCGACTCCCTCCCTCCCACACCGGCTCCCACCCTGCCTCCCACACCGACTCCCTCCCTCCCACACCGGCTCCCACCCTGCCTCCCACACCGACTCCCTCCCTCCCACACCGGCTCCCACCCTGCCTCCCACACCGACTCCCTCCCTCCCACACCGGCTCCCACCCTGCCTCCCACACCGACTCCCTCCCTCCCACACCGGCTCCCACCCTGCCTCCCACACCGACTCCCTCCCTCCCACACCGGCTCCCACCCTGCCTCCCACACCGACTCCCTCCCTCCCACACCGGCTCCCACCCTGCCTCCCACACCGACTCCCTCCCTCCCACACCGGCTCCCACCCTGCCTCCCACACCGACTCCCTCCCTCCCACACCGGCTCCCACCCTGCCTCCCACACCGACTCCCTCCCTCCCACACCGGCTCCCACCCTGCCTCCCACACCGACTCCCTCCCTCCCACACCGGCTCCCACCCTGCCTCCCACACCGACTCCCTCCCTCCCACACCGGCTCCCACCCTGCCTCCCACACCGACTCCCTCCCTCCCACACCGGCTCCCACCCTGCCTCCCACACCGACTCCCTCCCTCCCACACCGGCTCCCACCCTGCCTCCCACACCGACTCCCTCCCTCCCACACCGGCTCCCACCCTGCCTCCCACACCGACTCCCTCCCTCCCACACCGGCTCCCACCCTGCCTCCCACACCGACTCCCTCCCTCCCACACCGGCTCCCACCCTGCCTCCCACACCGACTCCCTCCCTCCCACACCGGCTCCCACCCTGCCTCCCACACCGACTCCCTCCCTCCCACACCGGCTCCCACCCTGCCTCCCACACCGACTCCCTCCCTCCCACACCGGCTCCCACCCTGCCTCCCACACCGACTCCCTCCCTCCCACACCGGCTCCCACCCTGCCTCCCACACCGACTCCCTCCCTCCCACACCGGCTCCCACCCTGCCTCCCACACCGACTCCCTCCCTCCCACACCGGCTCCCACCCTGCCTCCCACACCGACTCCCTCCCTCCCACACCGGCTCCCACCCTGCCTCCCACACCGACTCCCTCCCTCCCACACCGGCTCCCACCCTGCCTCCCACACCGACTCCCTCCCTCCCACACCGGCTCCCACCCTGCCTCCCACACCGACTCCCTCCCTCCCACACCGGCTCCCACCCTGCCTCCCACACCGACTCCCTCCCTCCCACACCGGCTCCCACCCTGCCTCCCACACCGACTCCCTCCCTCCCACACCGGCTCCCACCCTGCCTCCCACACCGACTCCCTCCCTCCCACACCGGCTCCCACCCTGCCTCCCACACCGACTCCCTCCCTCCCACACCGGCTCCCACCCTGCCTCCCACACCGACTCCCTCCCTCCCACACCGGCTCCCACCCTGCCTCCCACACCGACTCCCTCCCTCCCACACCGGCTCCCACCCTGCCTCCCACACCGACTCCCTCCCTCCCACACCGGCTCCCACCCTGCCTCCCACACCGACTCCCTCCCTCCCACACCGGCTCCCACCCTGCCTCCCACACCGACTCCCTCCCTCCCACACCGGCTCCCACCCTGCCTCCCACACCGACTCCCTCCCTCCCACACCGGCTCCCACCCTGCCTCCCACACCGACTCCCTCCCTCCCACACCGGCTCCCACCCTGCCTCCCACACCGACTCCCTCCCTCCCACACCGGCTCCCACCCTGCCTCCCACACCGACTCCCTCCCTCCCACACCGGCTCCCACCCTGCCTCCCACACCGACTCCCTCCCTCCCACACCGGCTCCCACCCTGCCTCCCACACCGACTCCCTCCCTCCCACACCGGCTCCCACCCTGCCTCCCACACCGACTCCCTCCCTCCCACACCGGCTCCCACCCTGCCTCCCACACCGACTCCCTCCCTCCCACACCGGCTCCCACCCTGCCTCCCACACCGACTCCCTCCCTCCCACACCGGCTCCCACCCTGCCTCCCACACCGACTCCCTCCCTCCCACACCGGCTCCCACCCTGCCTCCCACACCGACTCCCTCCCTCCCACACCGGCTCCCACCCTGCCTCCCACACCGACTCCCTCCCTCCCACACCGGCTCCCACCCTGCCTCCCACACCGACTCCCTCCCTCCCACACCGGCTCCCACCCTGCCTCCCACACCGACTCCCTCCCTCCCACACCGGCTCCCACCCTGCCTCCCACACCGACTCCCTCCCTCCCACACCGGCTCCCACCCTGCCTCCCACACCGACTCCCTCCCTCCCACACCGGCTCCCACCCTGCCTCCCACACCGACTCCCTCCCTCCCACACCGGCTCCCACCCTGCCTCCCACACCGACTCCCTCCCTCCCACACCGGCTCCCACCCTGCCTCCCACACCGACTCCCTCCCTCCCACACCGGCTCCCACCCTGCCTCCCACACCGACTCCCTCCCTCCCACACCGGCTCCCACCCTGCCTCCCACACCGACTCCCTCCCTCCCACACCGGCTCCCACCCTGCCTCCCACACCGACTCCCTCCCTCCCACACCGGCTCCCACCCTGCCTCCCACACCGACTCCCTCCCTCCCACACCGGCTCCCACCCTGCCTCCCACACCGACTCCCTCCCTCCCACACCGGCTCCCACCCTGCCTCCCACACCGACTCCCTCCCTCCCACACCGGCTCCCACCCTGCCTCCCACACCGACTCCCTCCCTCCCACACCGGCTCCCACCCTGGGCTCCCTCCCTGCCTCCCACACCGGCTCCCTCCTTGCCTCCCACACCTGCTCCTTCCCTCCCACACTGAGTCCCACCCTGCCTCCCACATCAGAGCAGCCAGGCTGGGTCCAACCAAAGGCCCCTCCAGCCCGGTATCCTGTCTGCCCACTGTGGCCAATGCCAGGTGCCCCAGAGGGAGGGAACAGGGCAGGGAACCCTCACGTGATCCCTCCTGTGACCCACCCAGCTATGGGAGCATGGGAGCCGGGCGGAGGCAGGGGTGAGGGCTGCAGGCTCTCGAGAGGGGCGGGCTGCAGCGGACTCTGGGGATCATACTCACCCAGCCAGGCGAAGTAGAGTGCGATCTTCTCGCCAAAGTACCTGCGGATGTGGTCCAGTGGCTGGCAGCTGCTCCATTTCCCCCACTCCCTCCTGTGACCCACCCAGCTATGGGAGCATGGGAGCCGGGCGGAGGCAGGGGTGAGGGCTGCAGGCTCTCGAGAGGGGCGGGCTGCAGCGGACTCTGGGGATCATACTCACCCAGCCAGGCGAAGTAGAGTGCGATCTTCTCGCCAAAGTACCTGCGGATGTGGTCCAGTGGCTGGCAGCTGCTCCATTTCCCCCACCTTGCCCAGTACT